AATGAATCCCTCCCCCTAACAATCGATTACATCACAATGTACTGGACACCAATGATGCCAGAGACTGAGTGATGGCAGAGGGAACTCGAAGCTAGGAATGAGTTTTGGGTACCATATTTTGAGTCAGAATTCGAAAGCAGCAATGAAGAAAACCAGCCTATGGAGTAGGCTCTCAACAACCTTATCTGTTCACCATCCACTATCCGAATACCATAACAATGTCAAACTATGTGGAACTTAATATGAGGCTGCGACAACAGATTATTGGACTGTTGTTGAACCACGATGTTATTCAACTTGAAGACTACTTTGAAGTCCTCTGGATAGACTACTGTCCTGATTGCAACAATGCTTGGGTTGATATACAGCATGAATCTGGTATTCATAACTACTGTGACCTGTATTGCTTTGAGTCTCGATGTTTTCTTAGGATTTCCTCTTGTCCCTGGTGTGATACTTATGATGAAGAGGTGATAGCAGAAACTGAAGCCTTTAGTTTCTTGGACTCTGCTTTTAATAATTATTAGGTTTTGTTTGTTTAAACAGTTGTTTTGTTTTGGGGAATGTAACCGGTACGGGTACTCGGTTATTAGTTTTGTTTTAAGTATCGCTTTGATACTTGGTTTGTTTTAAGTATTGTTTGATACTTAGTTTTGTTTTATGTTTTGTTTTAAGTATCATTTTAATACTTGGTTTGTTTTATCAAAGAATATCACGTGATATGTTTAATTAATTTCATTCATGCTAGATATGAACAAGATTTGTGTATTTAAAAACCGCCTGATTTTACGATGGAAAAGGCAGACTTCGACAGACAGTATTTCAATATACTTGGTTGAACAGTTACTTCTTAGTTCCTCAGTACACCTTCGAAATCTCCTTTAGCTTTCTGCTCTCACCTTCTCTCTCATAGAGCAGGCTACCTGCCAACTATCGTACCATTTACTGATAACATAACTAGCACCTTGCGAACATATTACAAGTTAAGTGTTCTGGAAATACGAAATATGTCGTAAAAAAAAGACCCCCACCTAAAAACACCCGTAGAGAAATGAGCCTTGCAGAGAAGAGCATAATAATTGCCTTTTTCTTCTGCTTCCGGAACATTACCCCGGTGGCTCAAATTATTAGATGCCCATGGACAACAGCTAAGAGCTTTCTTTTCCGGGCATGTGAATGCCAATCTCTTGAAAATCTCTCTTACCCTGGTCACACCCCCATTTTGAGTGGTGAACAGTGTTGCACAATTATACAGGCAGCCATGTCCAACCAGAAAATGACTAGATATGCCTTCAGGGATCACTATGCACTCAGTATTTCTGTTGATACTGGTCACTCTTTGTACTACCCAGAGTGACTGGATATGATTGCCTACTAAATTTGCCTGCATAGTGGACCGGGTACTCAGAGAAGTAAATATTAAAAAATGGATAGCTAAGTCCAGACCTAGGCTAAAGTCTGATCATGTGACTAAGAGATTGAGATGGGCTACAGCTCATAGGGACTGGACAGCTGAGGATTTTGAAAGCGTGATTTGGAGTGATGAGTGCAGAGTGGAGAAATCCAAGGATCCAATCCAAGGATCCAAAGCAACAATGGGTATTCAGAGAACCTGCAGAGAAGTGGTTGGCTGATTGTATACACCCAAAGGAGAAGAATAAGGGAATCTCGCTCATAGATTGGGGGTGCTTTTGGGGTAAAAGAAAAGGTCCATTAGTTCCTATTACTCAAACTATCAATAAGATCAGGTATGTTAGACTTTTGAGAAAATATCTTTTTCCTGTTATTCATCAAATGATTTCCTTTAGTATACAACTTGAAGATGTTCTTTTTCAGCAAGATAATGCTCCTGTTCACAAGGCATATAGTATTATGAATTGGTTGGAGAGAAACAGTATTGAGGTTGTGGACCACCCCCCTTATTCCCCTGATTTAAATCCTATTGAGCATGTATGGGTTGAGCTTAAAAAGCGATTGCACCAGCAGTATCCAATGATTGCAGATACTCTAGGAGGAAAAGAGGCTGTTAGGAGAAGACTTATACAAGTATTACTATTGGTTTGGGAGACAATTCCTAAGGAGTTTTTTGAGAAGTTGTGGAAATCAATGCCTGATAGGGTGGCTGCAGTTTTAGAAGTATGGGGAGGTTATACAAAATATTAGCCAGTTTAATTTATAGCAGGTCAATTGACCATTAAATGTTAAGAGGTGCTAGTGGTTATTGATCGTGAACTTGAACTAGTGTGCATGCACACCCATTGACAACCCTACCAGTACTGCCTTACCATATGGTGCAACCACAATTAAACATTGTCTCAAATCACGAACACTTCTGCCAAGTGTCTGTACTTTCTTCTTGGGAGACACTTATGATATCCCATAGATGTTATAACATCTCTCAATATCCACACAGAGTAGGCATATCCTATCTCTATAATTACCTCTTTCCATTGCTGACAGTGAGTCCATTTGTTCTAAGTGACAAAAGCCTGAAGCCTTGCCTTCTCAGCTTTATTGATCATTACTGGCCGGCCAGAGTGAGGCTGATTGGAGGGGGAACTACTGTTAAGTCTCACATAGTGGTAGATTTTCTGACATGTGCAGTAGTTTAAATGTACCTGGTTTCCAATCTCCTATATCACAGTTCCAAGTCAATGATTAGTTTTCACCTTTCATTCATAGTCCTTAATATTATTTTTTGTTTTTTACCTACCTTCCTGGTCATTCCTGCTTTTTCTTGTAAAGTAATAATTTGCATGCACTCATTATGTATAGTCTCATGGCCCTTCACACTCCCTCCTGCTGGAACATAATCTCCTTGACATCCTTTGGCTCTCATTGTAAAGAAGAAAAGTAAAAAAGGCAGGTAATACAGTGGTTGAAATTGCAGTATCGGTTTAATTGTTGGAGAGAAGAATGATCGGGTACTCAGAGTTTTGCTATTGTGACATATTTACTAATCACTACAAGTGGCAGCAGCCTATTTGTCATTGGCTGAAACATCTAAAACGAATCAGCTCGGGTTCGACAGACTTACCCACAACCCCCGGTACTGTACTGGTATGATACACCACTCGTTCAGTTGCTCCAGCACAATATTGGCAATCCATCCACGACGGGCCGCGAGCGATGAGCCATCGCTACAATCAGCCCACAGCCATGGCCTTTCTCCATGATGATGATGGATGATTCAGATTCAGGGAGAACCTTACTGTACCCGTGCTTTTCCCTTTTGTAGCTGTTGGCAATTGGCTGTTGGTGGCATTCTCCAGCGGAAGTGCATTAATAGAATCACCGGTCACGCCTCTTCTGTAGTCACGCCAGCCCCTTCAACCACACACACCTCCCCCCACTCGCCACACCACGAGATTAGTGGACAGGTTCGGCTATGTGGACGAGTACTTGTTCTAGTACCTAGAAGCTGCCCCCCAGCCACTTGAACACATTCATTCACATTCACATTCACATTCGCATTTTCCCCTTCTCACCTTCTCACCTCCCCCTGCCCTACGAGTACGAGTACCCGAGAACAACGCATTCAAGCTCTTCTGCCACTGCCATAAAATGTGTTCCAGTGGCTGCCCCCCTCATCGCCGGCAGTAGCGAGAGTGAGTATCAACGGGAGACTCAGACGGGCACCCCGTTTGTGACTCGGGAACGCTTGCCCCTCTCTCGATACCCATTGCCGTGGAATACCAGTACCGTGCTCCACCTCTGTATGCATATTCGTTTTGTGAACTTGCTCGATCCCAAATCTACTGGCTTCCTCGTCGTTACTGTGTCGACACCTGAACAGGATACCGGTGCACACCTCATTTCCATTGAAGCGGTAGCCCTAGTCGACAATCACGTCCATCCTCACCATTTTCTATCCCTATAGTCTATTTATTTCCATTTCTATTTCCAAAATCTATTGCATGTTTCCTCCTCCGCATACAACCGCCTATCGCCTTTATTTAAGCCTTCATTCCTTCCTGCATAAATAAATCGCATCATAGACCCCATCATCATCCCCTTTCCCCTTCCCCTCACTATACCCACCCACCGCCAATACCGGTAGCGGGATACTCGTCTTCCCCTCTCGCACCGACAAAAAAAAGGTCACCTCTTCCCTCTCCTTGGCGGCCTGGCTCGTTTCCACCCCCCCACCCTCATTCGCCACCGCCCGTGATGTTCTCGCTTCCGCTCTCCCTGCCCAGTCAGTGGGAGAAACGGATTGTTCGCTACATTCTTGGTCGGTTCGATTTTCTGGAGGAGCGGACTCTTGGAGATTTGTCAAACTTCGAAGGTTCTCTCGGCAGAAACTCGGTTCTCACTCTTAAAGATGTCGGCATCAAGGTAGATGTATGCCGACAACGACCCATGTCCATTTACTTTGCCCCCCCACCTAGCGTGGAGTGACCACTGACCCTTTTTTTTTTTCTTAGAGGTTAAAACAACTTGCCAAATTGCCAATACCTCCCCGGCTCCACATAAACGAGGCCGTGATTGGCACCCTAACCATCACACTTCCAACAAACTTCCTCGTCTCTGGCTCGATAGAAATCAACGTGTCCGACATCAGAGCTGTCGTTTCTGTGGCACCCGTGGCTCCTCCGACGCCCCCACCTTCCCCGGGAAAGCCCGATTCGACCAGCCCTGAGGATGGAGAAGAGGGTTCTGAATACGAAGATGAGGGCCACCACTTACCCGCCACCGCAGAGGATTTGGCCCAGTCTTTTCTTCATTCTCAACCCTTGAGTGAACAAGATCAGCTCCTGCACTCACTTTATCAGGACCCACTTGCCGCTTCCAACATTACCACTAGCAGCTCGACTTCTGAGGATGACGAAGAGCCCGAGCTGGGGATTGGAACGAGCATTGGCTTGCCAACTGTGTTTGCAAACATTTTCAAGGGGATCGGTGATAGGTTAAAGGTCCGGATCAGAGGATTAACGATAGCGTTGGAAACTACGGCTCCCGAAGATCAGGGGGGAGACGAAATACGTATTGAGTTTGAAATGGAAGACATGGATGTTGAGGGGGTCACCAACATTGCCCCTGCAGGTAGCGCGGGGGTCTCTGAATTGAAAGCCAAGAGACGAAAAGAGGGCAAGCGATGCATTACCCTGGAAAACATCAGGGGGTATATCATTTCCGACCCTTCTCTATTCGAATCGCCATCCTCCCCGGAAGCGAGTGCTATGTTCGGAACAATGTCGGAGATGACAGAGAGGGGTATGGAGCAGAGCACAGATGGTATCATTCGGAGTAATTCGGTAGACAGTACAACGGCATCTACCAGCACCATTAGGACCCCAACCCCGCAACCTCCCCCCGGGTCAGCCTCACTCGGTACCACCCTGGATTCATCGAATCCGTCAACCCACAGGGGTCGGGAGATAATTGTTGATGATTTGGGTGAAGGTGCGCAAGTGGGAAAAGAAGATGGTCTTGACGGAAGCCTTTTTCCCGACAGTGATGCGTTGGCTGACTCTGAAGACTCCTCATCAGATGAAGAGCTTGCCTTCGCGCCAATTCGCTCCACTAACAAGACCCACCCACCTCTGAGATCTCCATCCCAGGCCCTGCGCACAATGCCCGATGAGTACGATGATGAAGATAGCGAAGATGAGGGCGGTGCCACATTTGCATCTGGCACTTTTTTCCTTGAGCAGCCTCGGTCCCCTGTCCACATCCCAACCGGTTCGGTCAAACCACTCGTTTTAGACCCCGACCCAACAGTATCCCAACTGGACAAGCACCCAAGTGACCATGATAGCAATAGCTCCGGTGATGATGAGATGGATGCCGAGACTAGTAGACTTTTGAGTGAATCAACCCTCTTCACACATAGCGAAGCTGGAAGCCTCTATCTTTCTGCTACAAGTGGAGTCCTTCATGATTCACTTCCTTCGGAACGCGATGAGGAAATGGGTCGCCGGAAGGATGAGGAAGACGAAGAGGAAGTTGGTGAGGAAGAAATTGATGCTAGGTTGGACAAGTTATTAAGTTGTGGTATTAGAACTCCCGCCTCCGGGGCTACGGAGTCGTCATCGCCCGATGTTCCGGCCGCTGGATTGGCTTCTGAGGCAGGATCCTATAAAGTTGAGAAGCGACTGAGAAAGCAGGTTTTCGACCTCAACACCATAGAGATATTCCTGCCTTCGCTTTCCGGGGAATCTGGGACTCCGGTAGATATATCAAGCTCCATGACCGAGTCTGCCTCTTCTCTGAGGGGTGCATCGCATATGAGTGACAGTAGCCATCCTCCAATTCCTGGTGCATTCTCGATGTATGCTTCTTCTCGCCCATCAAGATTCCCGAGTTCGAAGCCCGCTACTGCTCCCTCGTCGCCTCCGAATCCTGCTCCACGAAAGCCAGCAGTTCGTATATTGGACGCACATCACCAGACTCGTCCAAGGAACTACCTACCCGGGGAGACACGTCCAGATATCGAAGTTGTCGTTGGTGATATTGATGTGTCTGTGGATGTAGTGACCGCCAAAATTCTCCGAATGATTTCTGAGACACTAAGTGTCGCATTTGCGGAGGGGCCAATCGAGGAGCCCAAGAGCAGGGGGAAACCAGCAATAGATAAGCCCGATACGGCTACGGATGGCGGGCTCTGTCTTGAGGTTGCGATTGGTGCTATTGGACTACGCGTGCTCCAGAATCTCGTTGGCGTTTACATTACAGAACATAGCGAAGAGGAGGATAAGACGGGAGCCGAAGGGGGTGTTGACGAACATCTGATCCTGGGCTGTGTTTTACGGCAAATCAAGGTTTCACACAAGGTTCTGCAAAAGAATGTCACAACAACGAAGATCGATATCAAAACATTTACCTTGGGCGATGGGAAAATCGACTATTTATCCTTTATTCAACCTCCCCCTACTGCAGCTAAGTCCAGGAAACGGGGCTCCCACCCCCCTTTAGCAACAGGCTCTGTTCCTGAGAACGACGTGACCCTCATAATATCCCAAAGCCTGGTCAAGAAGAGAATCAACGTCATAACACTTCCTCTTAAGGTCCAGCTAAATCTCTTGAACCTGGAAGAGACTCTACGCGCTTTCGGAGGATTTGGTGGTTTTATGGCCTCCACCTCCGCGTCTACTGCGACTATATCGATGGGCCGACCCACTGAATCCCCGGACAGAGGCGGCTTCGTTCCGGAGGCTCCACTTGTTGTTCACACGAAGGTTGATTGCAAGATTGGGGGCTTGATGGTAGAGGTTGTGGGGGAAACTGGAAAGATAGCCCTAGAGGCCACTCCATTAAAGATACGGAGTGAAACCAGCGACCAGAGTAGTATATCCCTTAGTATGGACAAAATTGCTATCTATGGTCCTGTCGCCCCCTGGGATTCTCCTTCGGTACCGATTGATGCAAATATTCTGGTTGAAAATACAAGAGTTGAATTCCTGGGCACACCGGAACAGGAGGACCTAGGGAGATTGCTGGAGCTTTTGACACCGAGCAAGGATCGATACGAGGCAGATGATGATATCCTAATCGACACGTTACTTCGCCAGAGGGAACAGGGTAGTTTGCTTCGGATTGGTGTCGGCGCGATAAAAGTGGAGATTGGGGACATTGGGATGGGTGAAAAACTAAAAGAGTTGGGGAACGAAGTTGCGAAGGTTCTTACTGTGACCGAATTTGTTGCGCAAGATGAACGACCTGGGCTCCTCACGTTATTGAACATCGATTCCCTATACGGAAAAGCCGATCTCGGGCCCGGGGTCGGGCTGCTCGAGGTGCATATACGTGGTGTAGGAATTGCCCATGTTTCCCTACCTAGCCTGGTCGCCCTCGCTATAATGCAGATGAATGTTCGACGAAACGGGGAGGAGGAATTGGTCGGCGAAGGGCTCGAGAGGCGGATTTACGACAAGGCGGATGAAGGGAAACCAATGCTGATGGTGAGGATGGTTGGCGACGACCCGGAACCAGTCATTAAACTTAAATTTTGGAACCTCCGAGTAGAATATAGGGTCGAAACCCTAATGTCAATGATGCGGGCGCCGGAAAACGCTTCTGCCGAGGTTTTGGCACAGGAAATGGTTCAGAGTATTGTCCACATTGCCGAAGAGAAGGCTGCTACCGTCCAGGGCCCGCCATTAGGGTTTGATATCATACTCAAGGATTGTGTACTCGGACTTAATCCGTTAGGTCTCAAAAGTCGGGCTCTGGTGGCTCTCACAGACTCTAGGTTACAAGCTGCGCTGCCCAATGGCGGGATGCTTAGTGCTGGTCTCGAAATCAAGAAGGCTAACCTCATGGTGGTGGACGATGTTTCGAATCTTGCGCCCCCATCCGAGAGACATGGGTCTAGAAGACGCGGAGAACCAATCGATCGTCATCTTATGGGGTACACCGCAATGGGCTACGTTTCGGTCATCACTATATCTTCCGCCATGGCTACGCTCTGTGTAGTAGAAATGGGGGGTGCAGGCGGCGAAAAAGCTGTGGATCTTGAGATTCATGATAAGTTGCTACTAATGGAAAGCTGCGCCGATTCCACGCAAACTCTCGTGGCAATCGTCAATGGGCTTAAGCCCCCACTTCCAGAAGGAGAAGAGGTCAAGTATTGCACCGAGGTTATGCCCGTTGACATGTTACGATCCCTGACGGAAGATGCCTTCGTTCACCCGTCTCGCACGAGGGCTCAGGAAACACCGTTCCGTATGGATGATGAAGACGGCGACATGGTTGTTGACGATGTACCGAGTAATCTCACTTTTGTGGAGAGCTACTATGGCCATAATACCTCTAGTACATCCGAGGCATCAACCTATAGCAAGGATGAGCTCGCCGATAGTATGCTAGACGAAGATCTCGGAAAGCTTGCGCCCGGGCGTAGTAAGCCCCCGGGGATCGGCGAAAAAGGTATGCTGGCTAGCTTTACTGAACAAGTACATGTTCTCGACGACTCTCCACTATCTATCGTGGGCGATTACGTCAAACAATCCGAACGGCAGCGTCAGGCATCTATGGCTAGCAAACGACCCGCCAGAGAGACTGTCAACAAATGGGATTCTTTTAGGAAGAGATACGTTCCTTCTCGTGGCATCGATGGCAGGGCTCAATACTTTCCTCTAAGGGTTAAGATCAGAGATGTCCATGTGATTTGGAATCTACACGACGGTTACGACTGGCAGAGGACAAGAGAAGCCATCAACCAGGCTGTAAGAGACCTCGAAAACAAAGCTTTGGAGCGGAAGAACCGCCAGGTGTCTTTCGATGCCAGTGATGATGACGGGAGCGAAATTGGAGACTTCCTCTTCAATTCCATATACATCGGAGTTCCAAACAACAGAGGTCCGGGTGATCTCGCAAGTGCAATTAGTAAAAACTTCGACGATCACATGAGCGAGACCTCCATGGGGACCAGTATCCCCGAGTCGCGGCCCTCTAGTCACTCGAGAAACACAGAATTCGGCGGTGGTCATAGGGGCTCGGGAAGGCATCTCCGGCTCGGCCGATCAAGAAGTCATAAGATGCAGATCGAGCTGAAGGGTCTATGTCTGGATTTCCTCCTATTCCCGCCGGATATGGGTGAGACGCAAAGCAGTGTGGATTTGCGAGTCCGAGACTTGGAAATCTTTGACAATATTCCGGCAAGCACCTGGAGGAAGTTTGTCACCTATATGCAGGATGCCGGTGTGAGAGAGACTGGTAGCAACATGGTTCATGTAGAAATTATGAATGTCAAACCAGTTCCTGGGTTGGCAGCAAGCGAGATTGTCTTGAGAGTATGTACCACACTTATCCTTCTAGTTTTGAGATACCTGCTAAGAAATATACTGTCAGGCTACCGTTTTACCTCTGAGGCTACATGTTGACCAAGATACCCTGGATTTCATGACGAGATTCTTTGAGTTCAAGGATGACAGCATTGCGCCACCGGCCAGCCCGGCCGAAATTCCGTTCCTGCAGCGAGTAGAGGTTAACTCTATCCGTATTAAGCTTGATTACAAGCCCAAGAAGGTCGATTATACTGGCCTTCGCTCCGGTCGCACGACCGAATTTATGAACTTTTTCATCCTCGAAGAGGCCGATATGGTATTGCGTCATGTGGTCCTCTTCGGCATATCCGGTTTCCCCAGAATGGGCGAGGAGCTGAATGCTACCTGGATGCCGGATATCAGGTCCCACCAGTTGGGAGATGTCCTCGCTGGTGTTGCCCCCGTCAGGAGTCTCGTGAATCTGGGAAGCGGCATGAAAGATCTGGTTGTTGTCCCGATGCGCGAATATCAGAAGGATGGCAGGATCGTGAGATCGCTTCAGAAGGGCGCATGGAGATTTGCCAAAACAACGACCTCCGAGCTTGTTCGTCTCGGTGCTAAAGTCGCAGTTGGGACTCAAAACATGTTACAGAATGCTGAAGGGCTTTTCGTTCCCACTATTTTGGATGATGGAACCGAGTCTGTCGAGTACCTGATCAGTGATAGCGAGGAGGAGGGTGATATGGGGCCAAATGAACATGGACAGAAGAAGGCCATTAGCCTTTACGCCGATCAGCCGCTCACTGTTGCTCAAGGGCTTCGAGGTGCGGGTGACAGTCTTAGGAGGAACTTTGGAAATGCCAGAGATGCTATCATGGCGGTGCCGGTTGATATCGCGGAACGAGGGAGTGCTCAGGTGAGTTCTTCGCCCCCACGATTTGTTCATTATACGTTTTAACACTTTACAGGGAGCCGCAAAGGCGGTAGTGAGAGCAGCGCCGGTGGCCATAATCCGGCCCATGATAGGTGCTACCGAGGCGGTCAGCAGAACGTTATTGGGAGTGACGAACGCGTTAGACCCTGACCAGAAAAGACGGGTTGATGATAAATATAAGAAGCATTAGGAGGTGTAGAAAGGGTTGTTTGTTTGATCGGGAATGCGGAGTTTTTTCTTTCTATTCTACTTTTTCCTCTTCCTTTCTTCTTCCCCTCCCTCTTCTCAAACTTACGCATTACTTTTACCCTTTTTCTTCTCTTCGGGTGAGGTGTTTTCTTGGTATGGGTATACATTTTTCAACTGTTTTTCATGAGGGATGCCATGGCGTTTTCCTACGGTATTCTCCCCGAAGCATCGTGGTGTTTACATGTGCTTCTTGTAGATATGATGTAAAACAATGTGAGTGACGGTAAGAGGGGAGGCCGCCGGCGTGCCAAGATGGCGCGAGTGAGGCGAGGTGACGCGGGCATAGAGTTGTATACGGTACTCGAGTAGCGCAGAGTATGACTTGGGCTTACCCTATTTGTATAAGTGGTCGGTGCAGCGGGGCCGAGGACATGGTCTATGCTTATCAAATTGCACATGGCTGCATGCAGAACCACACTACCGTATACCGGTATCTTATGATTCCGGAGAGAAGTCCTCGCAGATCATTCAGTGGGGGAATACTAAACACCGATCACTCATCACTCAACAGGGAAAACAGCGCTGGGCAGTTGGCAGGATGGTTTAATAATACATACTGTGCAAGTGCAGCACTGTGTAGACTACTCGTATGATAGCTCAGTCGGGAGAGGGACTTATCATATCCGGCCCTTGACGCAAATGCTAGGTCTGGGATTCGCAGGAGCGAGCTCGTCTCTTTGGATAGGAAGGGTGGACTTGTTCAAGGAAGTTTTTTTCTCTTCTTCATTTGCTTTTTGCTTTCAAAGAATTTAGTTTGTGAGATATCCTTTTTTATCATACAGTACGAGTACTTTACACATGGTTGGTTAGGTCTTGATGAAATTTGGGTTTTTGTTTTTGTGTGATGATTTTGCCTTTTTATTACCGGTATTAACTTGGACTATGTCGTTAATTGGTTGCGGTATCATATCGTACCGGTAAGCATTCTTAGGTCATACCGGTACTATAGGTGCGATTGCATGTGAATTTTCCTGTCTTACAAATAAATCTAAGAGGAATTGGATAATGGCTCGGCCGAGAGATCATGGATCATGCCGCTATCTCAATTGGATCAAGTACAGTACCCTGAAGGTTTGATAGCGCACGTTTTCCCAGCAACTCGCGTAATCCCGTGAGGGGCTGCCAATAGCATTCCAATCTATCAATCGTTCCATCCCTCCATGTTGCACCGGGCCCCGAGGCATTAAGACAAAGAAATCTGCCAACCAGCTAGACTAACCAACCCCGCATCCGGGCGATCGAGCAGCACTCTACTATACAACACATACTCGTACATTCCCCATGCTGTTCCTAAGCCGAGTATATAAACCCCCATCACGCCCATTCAACTACCCCCCCCTCGCAAGCAGCATCAGCAGCAGGCAAACCAGTACCCTTTCCAACCACAGATTTAGACACCACCACCAGAGCTACCATCGCAAAATGTCCGCAAGCACGGAAGCCGGCTCCCTCTTCACAGACAAAGACAGTAGCGAAATCCTAGATTTCTGGTTCAAAGACGTCCCGGAGCACCCACACATGGAGATGATACAACGCTGGTTTCAACCAAACCCAGCATTCGACGACGCTTGCCGGTTCATCACCCCCCCCCCACCTCTCACAAACCCCCACTAACGTGACATTTGATCCAAACAAAGAGCAAACTTCGGCCCCCTCCTCTCCAAGATATCCCCCCTCCCCGTGGCGACGGTGACAGCGCTCGCCACGACCCCGCAGAAAACTCTCTCGCTGCTCCTCCTGCTGGACCAGATCCCGCGCAACATCCACCGTGCGGATTCGCGGAGCGTGTACACGGTCACGGACCCGCTCGCGCTGGCGGTGGCCCAGCATGCGACGTCACCCGCTCTGAGGTTAGATCTAGGACCTGAGGCGGCGTGGAAGGGGTTTCCGATGAGGCGGTGCTGGTTCTATTTGCCGTTTTCGCACGGGGAAGACATGAGTGCGCATCGGCGCGCGGCAGAGTTGCATGAGGAGTTGGTCAGGGATTGTAAGGGTGGGGAGGGGGAGAAACTGGCGGTGGACACGGAAGGCTTCTTGAATTCGCATACGCAGGTGATCGAGAGGTTTGGAAGGTATCCTTATAGGAATCAGATACTGGGTAGGGAGAGTACCAAGGAGGAGATTGAGTGGTTGGAGAAGGATAAACCTGCCTGGGCTAGATAGGGATTTTTTTCTTCCTCATGTACCTTTATGAGCGAGGTGGGAAGGAGAGGGGAGATGAAATTCAATAAAAGATATATATACACGCGCACAGTCGAACTACGGATCTTTGCATTTCTCCTTCCCTGTTCCCTTGCGAGTTGGTGGGCAAGATTCCACAGCACGCTGGATGCGCTCGTACAAGTGAGGCGTTCCACAAGCGTGGCCACATGAGCCATTGAGGAGGTTTTTTTTTTCCGCAAAAGGTTTGTATTGAAATCGAGTTTCCCCCGCCCACTTCTCGCGTGGGCTAAGGGGAATCGGGAGTGGCCCCATGGCATCCCCCTTCTCCATTTTCTTTCCTTACCTACTTGTGCCATCTGGCACCCACCGGGTTCTCCACACAAAATGCCCATTTTAAACAGACGGCTACTCACCGCCAGGACCTCAGAAAAAAGTACAGTAATTTCCCACTTGGCACAGCTTGAAATGAGACTCACGTAATTGAAGGCCGTGTTACAGGGGCCGTTCTAAAAATTCCGAGGGCTCGAGTTCCGGAAGATCAGCCAAAAAAAAAATTTGACAATAACAATTTGTATGGTTAGCCATTAACTCGCTACCTGTGTTTAGCAGAATATTCCCTCTGATCCTCTTTCCATCTGATTACCGCTTGAGGGGGAAAATCTGTTGTGCACCTTTGTGTTGATTGGTTGGCCAAATTTGTGCATTATGTGCTTAACTTATGGGGGCCTCGGGTGATGCTTTCTTCGCAGCTCCCTGTTAACGACTGCTTGGCGGGGGGACGGTGTTTGGATACTGGTTAGACCAATAGCGGGTCCGGAGCACGGTACCGCCGCGCGGGTACCGGTAGTGTGTGGGCGGGCACACAGCCAATCGGAGGTGATGGGAATGGCACGGGTGGGTGGGTAGGTGAGGTGGGTAGTGAGCAGGTTAAATCATGGAAAGTCACTCGAGAACTTTAAGCAAATGGCCCGCCTTGATTGGCTGGTTGGCTGGTTGGCCTACCCCACAATATATAATGAATAACGAGCAACTCGTCGCGCGACGCAGTTTGTGGATCATTCGCTGTGTGTCTCGCAAGAAATGGTGTATTCGCCGGAGTATGATATCTGTTTTTGCTCCTGTAGCGATCCAGTGAGCTGAGCCGGGGACCAGGTTGTGCTAATGTAGCCCGCTGGAAACATTATCCCAGAGTTGGCGGAATTGCTCAGCGCGCATATCTCTATCCCTCAGCGTTATATGTGTCGAGCCCCAGTGACGGTATCAGTACTCAACTCCTCCATTACGCATCATCTGCAGCCTGGGCGTGACTGCTCGCAGATGAGTATGCATCGCATTAACAGCCTGATTCGAGTTGAAGATCCCCCGCACATCCACTTCCTTCGGATAGCACAAGCCAACTTTGGCATAGCACTCGCGTGTCTTCTGCTTCTGAGCCGTCGCACGTGTAGTCCCGCGCCAGAACTGGGAGGACGCGATGGCTTCTTGGAAGAGTTTGTTTTTGTGGTTTGCTGGCTCTGGCTCCGATTGTCACATTGGCTAGGTCATGATAGAAGGAGAAAATGTGCCCGTGGGCCAGCCTTAGGCCGCGTGGCGGCCAAGGAGCGTGGGTAAGGTATGTTAGGCGTACAGGGGCTGAAGGGGGAGAGGGGGGGCGGTGTTTAGATCCTTTGATACGCCGTAAGAGGGTAATGCGAATGCTTGTCAAGGGAATCGATCGTGGGGACATCTAGAAAAACTACGGGAACAGGCGTATACCTCGCAATCCAGATAGACCACAATGTAATAATTCGCCCCGAGATACTCATAACGGGATATGTCACCGGTATCCTCGCCCTCTCGAGCCCTGGGTAAAGGCCCCTCCGTAGAAGCTGAAACACCCGCCAACCCCAACCCCATTCTGTCTAAGGATAGATATCAAACCCGGCAACACCATAACAACCCTATTCCTCACCACCCCTCCCTCCATATCCAAGGCCTAGAATACAAGGCCAGGTATGAAAATCTTCACTCCCGTTCACCGTGCGCTAAGGGCACATACCGTGTCCAGCGGAGTAGTACGTCCCTTTGAGCGTACCCACCACCGGCTGTGGAACGGAAGCAGCTCCCCCTGACAGGCGGGGTGGGGCAGGGCGGGCGGGCGGCGCTTTGCGGAGGTAGTTGGTGTTGTGGGCTCTGTCATGGTTGCACCAGAACCCACCTCAGGGTGGTGAGGGTTTGGAGGAGGTGGGGAGGGCGAGGATGTGGTGGATAAGAACAAGGAATACGCGGCCAGTGGGCTGAGGAGAATTGCGCCTTGGGGGGGCATTAACGCGAGCTTCCAAGCTGGAGTACGGTTCCTTCCGTACATTAACGGATGTACAGTACACCACTACCCCATTAGATTCCCTCCCATATTTTCCTATCTTTTTTCACAAATAAATAAAAAAACTTTTTTTTTAATCAAACCGGGGACCTGCCATGCGGGGTTCATACTCGTACGATAATGTAATTGTGCCCCCCGTGATCAATCATTCATCTTCCCCCGTCCGAGACTAGGATCTTGTTGAAAAATATAGACGACAAGGACAAGAGTCTCGTACAGTGCCTGGGCCACGAATACGGCTACACTCCACAAGTCCCCCCACAAATTAGCGAAGCACCCCCATCCCGGCTATGCGCTTTTCGGCGAAAAGTGCGGTGGGGAAGATCAACGCTTGGCCATCCGTAAGGTGGGTTGGCAATGGACTGATTTTGTGCCCGGGTTTTGGGATTCTGTGGGGGTTGGAGTTGAGGCGAGGTGGGGTAAGAGGACCGATGGAAGCGGGAACGAGGGAAGGCGGGAGGGAAGTCAACTGTCGGTGGTGGGTAATTTGCTATGGTATCATTCCTTGGAATTATTATTTGTTCGTCGTAATTCATGCCGTGGCCGCTTACTTGCCTCACTTTTGGATGCTATTTATCTACTACTGTAGCAGTACCAAAATGGAACCCCACCCATTTCCAATGGCCGAGGGTACGGGAGAATAATCCGCACTCATATAATGCTAGAAGTTACAGGAATTGATCGACTCTAACGTAAATCACGTGGAAGTGACACAAAACCGGGATGTGACACAAGCTGGACTTGGCGTAAATGATGCTAGTCGATCTATAATATGATACCCCGCTTTGCCGGGGGTATGCTGGTGGAGGGTTATTGCAACCACAATGCCTCCACGACGAAGTAAGGATCCTCAATATGAGGGTCGCCTCCAAAAAGCAATCCAAGCAATAAGATCTGGAGAGGAAGAGAGTGTCGCAGAAGTCAGCGAAGCCTTCAAAGTGGACAAGCGGACCCTCTACCAAAGACTGGCCAGAACTTCAACTAGTCATGCAGAGGCTCATGAAGGACAGCAACAGTTGATGAAATCAGAGGAGAAGGTGATTGTGAGATGGTGTTTTGACCAAGATGACAAGGGGTTTCCACCAAGGCTCAGTATGGTACGGGATATGGCAAGGCATCTAGAAGAAATGCGAACCAAAGTCAGATGCGAACCGATGAGGAGGAATTGGATGTCCTGCTTCCTTAAGCGTCATCCAAATCTTGCTGTTAAACTCAGTACGCAGTTAGAAAGGCAAAGGGCATATGCAAAGGATCCTGTACTAATTCAAGACTATTTCAATAAGCTGTCTCGGTTGATTAGAATGAATGGGTTGTCCACTTCACAGATTTTTAATATGGACTAGAAAGGTTTTTTAATGGAAGTGGCCTCGCGGGTAAAGGTTTTATGCTGCCGTGGACGAAGAAATCCCCATGTCATTCAAGATGGGAAGCGTGAACTTGTTACCATTATAGAGACTATCTGTGGTAACGGTACAGCACTTTTACCTTTTATTATCAATAAAGGTTCCAGTCATTATCTTGGATGGTATAAGAACCTAAAGAAAGAAAATGAAAGTTATAAGTTTAGCTACTCGCCTAGGGAATGGGTAGATGATCGCCTAGCTCTAGAGTGATTGAAACTTGTTTTTGAACCAGAGACGCGGGCAATTTGTGGCGGTGATCCCTGGCTGTTAATTTTTGATGGCTATGGATCTCACATCACCTATAACTTCATCTCCTACTGTTTGGCTCACAACATTCTCCTCCTTTGCCTCACCTCTTACTCAACTTACCTATTACAACCTCTGGATGTAGGACTTTTCAGCCCCTATCAATATTTCTATGGCATAGAGGTTGACAATTATATTCGGTCAGGGAAAAACCTTTTCGGAATCAAAAAATCAGTTTTCATTCCTTTTCTCACTGCCGCCTGGAAGCAAACCTTTACTCCACACAACATCTTTCAGTCCTTTACTAGTACTGGTATTTAGCCGCTTAATCCCTAATGTGTTCTAGGTAAAATTTCTCCTCCCATTCCTAGGCTTCAAGACTCCCTTGGAACATTCAAAGAACCAAAGTCTGGATACGAAATTTGTCACCGAGTTCAGGCAGGAACGAACCTCATTGATTCACTTATTACAGACAGTTCTGAAGGGACTATCTACCGGGTGAAGACAATTATGACAACTCTTGGTCATCAATTGGAGGAGGAAATAGCGGAGAAAGAGGTGTGGCAAGAACTTACTCATCAGCTGCAAAACGTGAATATTGTTCACAATATTACCAATAAGCGGAAACTAAGTGAAGTATGCGTACTGGATGGAGCTACCTTAATCCAATTGCGTAATGCCTACTTGGATAAGGATCTCCAAAGGACTCAGGCTGCAGCCAAAAGGGTAGCCTCCAGGTTCCAGCATGGACAGCGAAAAACTAAGCCAGCACAGAAAATATTCTCTCCTTGCCTTCACCCAACTACACCACACTGATCAGAACCACGGATCCAGCAGGTTCTTATATCTGCTACTCCGCATATTGTGCTTGTTGATTCTGAGAACGATTCGGGTTCTGCAAGCGAGGAGGAGGAGATTTGTAATGATCCCCCTTTGGACAGTTAGTTCTTGGTGACGGGGAACGATACTTCTCTCTTCTACTTTCTTATTTCTTCGTCTTATGATAGCACTAGGCCTCTGCCTAGGTTACCGATAGTACAAGACCTCTGTCTTCTATCGGGAATGCCTATCGTAAGCTTTCTCTAACTCTTC